CCAGCAACCCCCCCACGCCGCTCCGCCATGGCGGCATACGCCCCACAGCGCCCCACCACTTCCTGCAGATAGCCCCACCTTCCACCGGCACTCATTGGTGCGACGGGCAGCTACTCGGTGGATCCTCGTCTGCTACTGGCTGGTTCTGGTGTGCGGGAGAGGGGGGGGCGGCGCCGCATTTGGACCCGGCCCGCCCGCGGCGACCCGAAAGGAGGTTCCGGGCGCTAGGATCGGCCCTGGGAGGTCGTAGGGGCGGGCCCTAGGGTCCGGTGTGAGCCTTGGAGGCCACCTCAGACCGTGAAGAGGGGTCATGGGAAACAAACAACCCTGAGGATCCCAGATTGGGCCATGGAGGGGGTCACAGGGATCAGCTGAGGCCATGGAGAGCCCGAAGGCGATAGGGGGGAGCAAAGTGACTGATCTGGGTCCCCCACAGGGACCAGTGGGGGCCGTATGGACCAGCTGAGGTGATTGGGGGTGTGCCCTCCGCTCAGCCCATGGCCAGGCCCAGCGTGACCCAACCTGGACTCACAGCAAAGGGACTGGGGCAGATGTGGAGAACGTCATGGAAACAGGACAGAGATCAGAGCCTCAAGCTGGTTTATTGCCAGTTTGTGGTGGGCTCCTCCAGTACTGGTAGCTCCACACTGCTGGGGACGTGGGGACAGAGTGGCTGGGGTGTGTGGGGTCCCTCAGTAGGACAAGGGAGAGGAGCAGCCTGGGGAGGAGAACAATGTCATGGCTCCATCGAGGGCATCCCTGAGGCCAGCAGGCTCCAGGCGCTGAACTCCCCGGAGTCTGTGATGTCCTTGACAGCCACCTGGATGTGGTGGAGGGTCCCAGGTTGCAATCCCGTGAGGGTGTAAGAGATCTGCTTGTATGGCCCGATCTGGGGGCGTAGAGTGGAGTTAGGGGCACCCATGAGTGTGGGGGCCAGGACGCAGACTTGCTTGGGGATGCGCCCCTCAGCTGTGCTTCAGTTTACCCTGTGTAGAGCGGGGGTTTGGCAGTACCTTTGTGACAAAGCCCTCCTCCTGGCCATAGCGGATGCAATATTTCAGTGGCAAGTAATCTGGGAAGGGCCAGGACCCTGGCAGGCTCCACTCCAGCAGCAACTTCTTGGTCTCACAGGGATGGGTGAAACCCGCAGGTCCTTCAGGGGGTCCGGCTTTACTAAGGAAGCAGGGAGAGAACAAAGGTGTGAGGTGCTGGCTGGGGAATCCGGCACAGGACTGCTGGGGACAGTGACACTGTGTCCCCCAGCCCCGTCGACTGAGCTATGCGATCTGGTGGCCTGAGACCCAGAAAATCATTGCACTGATGGTTCCATAGCCCAAGCTGGGGAGCAAAACCAGAAGGCAAAGACCCAAAGGAAGCCCCAGGGCTGGATTAGACCCAGGCATGGTGCTTGGCGGTTCTTCAGGGGACTCTGGCTGTGCCAGCACTCACTGATGCTCTCCATGAGGAAGGGCAGGAGTTGGGAGGCAGTGCCCAGCGGGTTCATGGCCGTCAAGTTCACCACATAGGGAATAAGGGAGAACATCTGCACATCCCCAAAGGAGCAGCTCTGTGGCCCCATGCGGACACACTTGCCCAGCTCCATGGCCCCCTGCACGCCATGCCTGGGGTGGCAGAAGGGGAAGCTGGGCAAGGGGTGGGTGACACAGGTACAGGGGGGGCTCAGCTAGGGCTCAGGGTCCCCCACTGACCTGTACGTGGCCACGAAGTCGGTGTCCAGCAGCGGCTCGGGGACCAGGACCCAGGAGCAGTTCTGGGTACCCATCGCCTGTGGGTAGCTGATGGCCCAGCACTCCACGGCAGGCAGCACAGGGGGATCTGGGTTTGGGGATAGTCACCACCGCACCACCAGCTTCCCCAGGGGACCCCCACCCAGCAGTGGGGGCCGTGGGGGGCAGCCAGGGTCACTCACAGCCCAGCCGCAGGCAGACGGTGGCCCAGGTCTTGCCAGTGCCAGGGTGGTGGCAGCTGTAGTGGCCTTCATGGGCCAGGCTGGCATTGGGGAGGGCCAGCCCGGCACAGGATACATCCCCAGGACAATGTCCCCTCGGCGCCACTTGGCTGGCCCTCTGCTGTGGCCAGGCACCGCAGCTGCACCTCGGTGCCCAGGGTGCTATGCTGCAGAGTGCAGCGGCCTGGGGGCCGTGGCAGTGGCAGTTGGCATGGTCTGCACCCACCAGCACACCCCCAAGCCCCCCGCTGTCCCCAGTGGGGTGGTACAGGGGATATACCACGACAGGGACAGGGAGTGGCAGGGGGTGACGCTGGGTCAGGACAGGTCTGTGCCTTCCTGGGCCCTCCAGCTCTGTTCCCAGCACCGCCATGCCACTCCCTCCCCAGTGCCCCCAGCTCCTGTGCCTCTGCCCTTGGTCCCCTCTTGTCCCCAGACCCCCACTGTCCCTGCTCTT